ACACACACACACACACACACACACACACACACACACACTATTATTATAAAAAAAATTAAATAGCGCTCTTTTATAACACTCAGCAAAGCGTGAGTGTTATAAAAGAGCGCTATTTTGCGCTAATTTTGTTTGTGTTATACACAAACAAAATTATCCTTCAAAATCTGACGTTATAATAACATAATCATACATAGGAGACCTGTTATTTATTTCACACAACCATCCTTTTGACGTCATAATGACATCAAAATATTACCACAACATTGTCATTTTATATATAATATACAATTGTGTGTGCGTGCGTGCGTGTATGTCTGCCTGTTTGTCGTTTCAATGTAGCAGTCGTTTAAATGTTTAGAATGTATTAGACGAGAATTTATATCAGCTAAAAAATTTTCCATAAAATTTTTTATTTAAGTATAAACGTTGTATAATAATGTAATTGTGATATAACCAATGCCAGGGTGTCACCGCCGGCAGAATTCTGTACGACCACATTCACTCAAGATCCTCAGCTCCATGTCTTCCCAGTGGGATCGATTAATAAGATGACGGGATTTAAAGTACGTACTGTTTGGTGGATTTCATGGTTTTTGAAGGGTGAATGGTCATTTCATTTGTTTCTTGCATTGTTTTTTGCCACAAAAGCTGTATGTGCAGTACATTTGTACAGAAAAATTGTACAAAATTTAGGCACGTTTGTATGTCATGTCAGTGCAAGCAAGCCTTGCATTTGGGATCCAAAATTGTTTTTGTCATAATTTTGTAGGTTTGGTTGGCCTACCTGTCACGAATGCCTGACATTCCAGACCCAATATGTTTGGAGATGACAGATGGAGTACCGTGCCCTGCCTATTTCAACAACAAAGGCAACAGAAACAACTCGAACAAGGGCCCGTCCAACAACGCGAGAGACACTGCTGTCAATCGCAGAAGAAACACTCGATCCAAATCTCCTATGCCCAGGTTTGAAGCCATCTTCCAGAACGTCACCGGCTCACCGAAACTCATCAGCAAATCATTTGTTCCCAACTCATCTTCATCCTCGATTCCGTCTTGCCTCACGAAGACGACAGCAAACAACATCAACAACTCTTATGAATACTGCAACGAACTGAAGAGAAATGTTCATTGCGAAGCCAATGCCACCTCTAAGAGACTTTCCCACCAACACATGCTAGATTGCATTCCTGAGATCTCCATGGTTCCTATATTAACCTGTGCAACAGCAGCAGGGATCGCATCTGCAACGGCCTCCGCTGCAACGGCCTCAAAATTGTGTTTCGACGACTTCAGCAGTTTTGCTAAAGTTTACGGTGAGAAGAGTCGTCAGATGAAATGCTGCGGTGACGTTGACTCGTTCAACGAGTTCAGAGAGCAGCAGAACATTTGTTGCGACGGTGATGTTCTCCTGAACTATGTTCCTGTATGCAATGCTGGCGCTGGTGTTCTCGCTGGCAAGGCTTACAATGAGTATGCTCATTACGATGATGATCACAAAAACGACGATGACGACGATGACGATGAGTTATGTGATGGAGAGGTGGTGCATGCGAGTAGATCACCTCTGTCATATTTGAGGTTCGACTTCTAATTTCATCGTTCAATGAAATAATTCGCTCCGATGTCAGTTTTTTGTTGAATTTATTTTTAAAATTAATTATTTCAGCTGTGATGTTTTTCGCCAAAACCGCAAAGACCAGCTTCCGTCTGCATTGAAACATCATCATCTTCAGCAACATCAACATTATCAACATGAACAACATCATTATCATGAACAAGAGAACCAAAATTCTGACCAGGAATTCCGCCAGAGAAAATTGTTCTCATCATCTCCATCATCATTATTGACAGTGTCATTATCGAGTTACCATCCTCCAGAACTACCATCAAAAGTAGCACCAATGAAAGCAACTGCAGCTGCAGAACGTCACCACCACAGCTATCGTCAGCAACAGCAACAACGTTCTCGTTCTAAAAATAACCCCACAAACTTCGCCCACACATTTCTAAGGGACCAATACCTGACTGACAGTGATCATGGTTCCTCTCCTGACCTTGACATTTACCTTAATGAAAATTTGGCCAACTTAGTTGAACCGATGAAACCAGAGGAAATGAATTGCAGACTTTTGAAAATGTGTGAAGGGAAAGGCAGCAGTAGCAGCGGCTGTAGCAACATCAACTTCAACAAAACCTCTGCAAAGAAAAAAGTTACAGAAAGTATTCCAATTAACAGTCTAGTAACCAGCATTAACAGCAGCAGCAGCAACTACAACAGCTACAACTTGAAAAGTGGCGCAATAGCTTCTGATTTCAGCAATTATCCACTCATTAACGACAGGGTGCATTTGAAGGAGACAGCTAACAAATTTTCAGACATTGAAAACAATTTGAAAAGCATTGACAAGAGTTCTTGCAGCAAATCATTGTGCGTATTTGATGATATCTTGGATGATGATGGTGATAATGATGAGTTTGATGATCACGATGTTGAGATGCAACAACAACACCAGCAACTGCAGCAGCAACAAAAAAAGCAATCCGGACAACAGAAAGCAAACAGCTTGGAGGAGGAGATGCTACCTACTATGCAAATCAATGTAGCTCAACGTGAATATTTCAAGCATAATTTTCAAAAGGATTCTCTGAAGTATGAAAATGTTGACGATGGTAGTAACAGCAACTGCCAAACAGGTAAGGATAAATATTCACCATCTTCAACACATGCTACTGACAGAATCCGACCAGCATCAACAATAACAGCATCGTCAACTCCAGCCATTAAGGCATTGCAGACGGAGCATAATAAAACATCTGGGTCTACTTTAATATCACCAGCGACAACATCCGCAACATCTGCAACAACAACAAAAGTCACAACAACAACATATGCAACAAAAACAACGGCTAGATCAACGACGAAAACAACAAAATCAAAAAGTTGTGCATGCTTCCTGATAGACTCACTGCAGACGGACTTCAAATGTTCCTGCTGCAACAACGTTGTCGGCAATATCAGCAACAACAACAAATGTTGCAGCTTTCACTTAGAAGATGTTGACTGCTGTCATTTTGCATCAGGCAACAAATCTTCCAACATTTCTGAAAATGACGTCAGAGCTGACGTCATTCGCAAGCCTATATTTTCTGTAGGCGAGGATGATGAATATAACGATAACGACAATGTCAACAGTACCAACAACAGCAACAACAACAATTTTGTTGAAGACAATAATATCAACAATAACTGTAACAACAATAAAAACAAAAATGTTGATGCGACTGCCACTTCTGCTGCTGTCGGCTCGAATGCAGCTTCAGCGCTGGCCACTGTTACCAATACCCATCCAAGTGTTGTTAAAAATAGCAACCACAACAATAATAAAAATAATAGTAATAATAATTTTGTAGGTGCCTGCAAATTAAACAGTCTTAGCAATGTAATAAATTTGCAACATGAAATATTCATAGAAACACAACAACAACAACACTTTATATTACAAAATAAACAACAACAGCAGCAGCAGCAACAACAACAACAACAACTGTCATCATCACCATCACTAAAAAATTATGCCAACCAAACATATGCCAACAAAGAAATCACAGCCACCTCAATATCATCAGATCCTCTTGGCACAGTTAACTCTAAAGCAATAGAAACTTCAGCAATAAAAACGTCGTCGTCATCTTCATTATCATCGTCTTCATCGTCCTCGTTATCGTTTTCTTCATCATCGTCATCTTTGTCATCAGAGCGATGCACAGCTACTCCAGCCAGTTTGAAACTACCATCACCACCGTCATCATTATCAATACTGATATCGTCGTCGTCGTCATCATCAGCAGCAGCAGCAACTACAACATCACCACCATCATCGTCATTGAAATCATCATCACCAATAATGACTCCATTATCTGCCATTCCTCATTACTTAAAATCAAAGACGCCACAGGATTCTTCTAGAAAACCATGTCACCTACTTAGCTATCTTTTCAGAAAAGATCAACCGCAACAACAGCTGCAACAGCAACCGCAACAACACGCAACTAACAGCAACAACAGCACCACTAGTCAGACATCTCCTGATGATGTCACAAGCCACAACAAACACTATCCAATCAACAAGACCACCACCACTACCACAACAACAGCAATCATCAATACAACAACAACAACCGTCAATACAACAACAAAAATGCCCCAAACAAACGGCAACAACTCACCAACAAGTTCCACTCCAACGAACAACAACAACTCGACAAATTGTACGCCCACCAACAGCACCCCCAGTACCCCCAAAAAACTTCTAGCTAGGGTGCCAACGGAAAGTGAGAAGAAAAACTTTAACGGCAGGATGCAGCATAGTACCAGCATGCTCTTCAATGCCAACACCAGATTACCCATGCAATCTAGTCCGGTGGGGTTTTCCGTTATTATTATTATTGTTATATATTTAGATTATATTATATATATTTATATTATTATATTATTTAGATTAAATAGGATTTTATAATTATTTCATTATTAATATTTGGTATTTGGAGTTAGAAAATAAAAGGATGTTCCCATTATTATTATTATTATCTTTCTTCATTATTATTATTATTATTGCTTATTATTATTACTTGTTATTATTGTCGTTGTTGTTGTTACTGTTGTTGCTTTACAGGTGCCGGCAAAAAGGCTCTCGTCAGATAGTTTTGACTATGACAGCAGTTTAAATTCAGTACAAGCCATTAAGAAGTTAGTCCTGATTAGTTTGTTGATTATTTGATGGATTAAATGAATGAATAAATTAATGAATGAATCAATCAATCAGTCAATCAATCAACGAACGGACGAATGGAACGCGTATGAATGATATAATTTCAACTGGTTGTAACGTTTCGAATTCATACTTTATCATTGCTGCCTATCCCTGTATCAACGAAACAGTTCCCTATCATGCAACAACCTCAACAACAACGGCAGCAACGACAGCAGCTGCAACGGCGACATACAGGACCACAAGCAGGTCTCCTTGAAACGAACCTGCAGTACGAGTGCGCCTGCTTCTAGCAACTGCTTACTTGGAAGTTTTGAAGTCTGTCGTCGCTTTGTTTCATTGTGTTTTCTCTATTGTTCTTCTTTAATTTTGTATATAATTGTTTATGCCTGTGTGTGTGTTGTGTGGTGTGTGTAAGTGAGTAAGTGTGTGTTTGTTTAAGTTTGTATTAATATGCCTAAGCCAATCTTCTATATCCTATACTGCTATGCGGCCATTGGACGAACAAGCTTATTGCTAAACTTTGCTCGAATACTTCCTAACAATATTGCATACGATGTTGATTGTATATTCGCATACGTTTGTGTGTGTGTGTGTGTGTGTGTGTGTGTGTGTGTGTGTGTGTGTGTGTGTGTGTGTGTGTGTGTGTGTGTGTGTGTGTGTGTGTGTGTGTACACATGTATATACGAGCTTGTTTGTATAACCAATAGTACATACTTTTATACTTTTATTGTTAGTGAGTTTCGCCATCGCCTTTTTGTACATATTTATTTATGGACGTTTTAATAGGTTCATTTGGATCAATTTATTATATTTACGCGTTTCTACATTTTTAGCATGATTTCATGTGAATCAGTTCAGTTGTCGTTTCAATAATGAAAAATTATTATTATTATTAATTATTATTATTATTATTATTGCTATTTTTGTTTTTAATAATTAAAATAATTAGACAGTTAATGGGAAAATAGAATTGGTAGTAATGGAATTTGCGGTAATGTTAATAGTAGTACTAACGCCTGCGCTACTGCGGCTACTTTTGCTGCTGCTGCTGCTAATTCTACTGCTACTACTAAAAATAATAAAAATTACAATAATAATAAATAAATAATAATAACATAGAATAAATAACAATGAATAAATAATAAACCGCCAAACAGGAAAGCCTTATAAACGGTAGATTGGAGCCGGCGGGTGTGATTGACGGATTCACAGTCGAGATAGGGGCCAGTGGCTCATTTTGCCCACCTCACATTTTTCTTCCATGTCTCGCTTTCTTCTTCAGCCTCTCAGATGACAATGCCCCCTCTCCTTATTTGGTGAGATAGGGCTGTGTGGGTTAATTATAAATTATAATAATTTATGATGGATTTCTAGGCCCGTTGGTGATTGTGGCAAGTTTCTTTATGAAATTGGGATTTTAAATGGATGAATTTTCATTAATTCACTTGATGCTTATCATAAAACAGGGTCATATTGATTTGGAAAGTCATTCAAAGAAGGGATATAAGGTACCAAATAAAGGAACCATCCAAGTTGTTAGTGCCTTCTTTGTGCTAGTTCTTTAGTTTGCTCACTCATTCAATCACTCATTTGTACATTTAATCATTCATATATTATTCACTCACTCATTCATTCGTTCATCACTCACTCACTCACCCACTCATTCATTCATTCGTTCATCACCCACTCACTCATTCATTCATTCATCACTCACTCACTCATTCGTTCGTTCATCTTAACCCTCAGACATTATTCAACCCGAGCAAGTCCGTGGTGAAGATCTTTGTGATAAAGTACGACGTGAGTGACATGCCAGGCCACCACCAGACCATCCTCAGACACCGCATCGTCTACATGCCCAGTACTAACAGCAGCAGTGATGTCCCTGGCGCGCCTACCTACCTGCGATATCTCGTTCACTTGAGGTTCCGTATTTTGCGGGATTCTGACTTTGTTATATTCATCAAGCTTTTGATTTCGAGATCATAAAATTGATTTAAAACACGCACACTACGCATACACACACTCTTTTTTTCTCTATCTATCTCTCTCTCACACACACACTCATATGTACGCACACAGATTGGCCAGCCTGAAGCAGAACCACACGTACCTACACACAGACATCCGTATGATTTTTGCCAGGGATAAATTTGAATGGGACAACAGGATGGCTAACTATGAACTTCGATCCTTCACTGAAACTCCGGAAAATCCCAAATACTCCCCACGAAGATGAAACCGAAACTGAAACCGTTGTTGGACTATTTAAACTAGTGATGAACCAATATTTTTACATTTTATTTTATACATTCGTCATCACATAAACCCGTGCGTATGTATGCTGTAACGAGGTTAAATGCCTACTTTTCGCCAGCTGTCTAGAAGAAAAATTTAGAAAAACTGTTTATCAAATAAATGACTATGAATTTGTTATTTACTGATTTCGTTATGTGATTCCTGTCTTTATTTCATTTTATTTGGTCTCCAGACGCATTTTAAGACTGTAGTAGATATATATATATATATATATATATAGCTATATATAGTGTTGTATATGTACAATATATGTATTTTATGATATATATATTGTATAAGTGTCTATGTATATTATGTCTATATACATTATGTGTGTGTGTGTGTGTGTGTATATCATATACGTGTGTTTGCTTGATTGTTGTGTGTGTGTGTGTGTGTGTGCGTGTATTTGTTGTGTAGTTCCATAAAATAGAGATTTTACTTAATTAAGATTGTTTTTAAAAAAAAATTTTGCGATTTTAAATGTCCGAAATATAATAATAATAATAATAATTATTATTATTTAAATGCTTTCGTTGGTGTCGGATTTTCACTTGAAAATATTGATGTTAATGTTTATTATCATTATCATTATTTGTTTATCTTTTTTTAATTAAAGTTTTATTATTTTATAATAAAATTATTAATAATATTTAATTAAAAATTCCGATTTTTTTCTAGTGTGTGTGCAAATGTAGATATTTATGTATTTAATTCTGTATGTAAATATATCTGTCATGTTTTTTATATTAATTAATTAATTAATCATTTAATTTATTCAATTAATTAATTGATTAATTAATATTTATTTGATCTTTTTATATATCTTCCGGTTGTATATTTGTTTAATTTTTACTTAATTTTTAATGTTATTTAATGCAAATTTAAAATGGGATAGAGAAGTTTTTTTTTATGTTTAATTATTTAAGAAGTTATTTCATTATTTAAGAATTCTTTCTTTCATTTTTTTCCATTTTTAAAATTTTTAGAGAAAACAATTAAAATGCTTTGAATAAATCTTATATTTCTGATTTTTTTTTCTTGGTGTTATAAATTTCCCGAAACTGTTTTATGATGAGATAATAGATTTTTGTTTAAACATAATTAATCAAATTAATTAATTAATTAATTAAACAAACAAGGAGAACTGATGATATCTGAACTTTGCGTATTCGATACAGCGTAACGACATTTGGCGAATGATTCACGCGGTGACTGGTTACAGTTCGCCAGACTGCGCCCAAGCAGGGCTCCTAAGATCCATCATTTGTGGTGACTGGTAAATTACTTTCGAATTCAAACTTTGCTCGCTGTTCTTACTCCAGTAACTGTTGGCGGACTGGATGGATAGAGTTTGTGGATCGAGGAAGACTTGATCCCTCTGAATTTTTTCAACGTCCGCTTGTTCGTTACGCGTGCAATCGGGTTGCTGTGTGGCACTCGATGTCGTGCTAGTGGGATGCTTTTTGTCGGCGTTGTCTGCCTTTCTTGTTCTCTGTTTCTCGTTCATTATTAAAGTTTCTTTCTGGATTCGAACCGGCTGGATAAACAACCGCTGCTGAGAGTCAAATCCAAACTCTACCAAATCGTTGGCTAAAATAAAAGACGAGAGACTGGCATTTAAACGATGACCTCCTCTTTTGACCTTGATCGTCCAATCGGGGTCGACTGTCATGTCTACGAAGTGGGTCATCACTCGGGCCAGGCCCGTCAATGGAGATACTCGCAAATTCTTTCGTTCGCTAGTTACTATGACGTCAGCTGTTGATGTTTGATGAATTCTGATGGAGTTGATATGGATCTGCAGGTTCAACAAACAAACAAACAGGTCAGTTAATCAAACAAAACATATTTTGTAAATGTAAATTTTGAAAGAAAGCTGATCGATCGGTAAAACAAACCGTCGTAGCGCCGTTTCTTTGCATTCGGTAGCGAGCAGACTCAACGATTTGCATGCACTGAGGAACCAATTCGGCACCGTGTCGCGATGAGAACAGCAAACTTCGACTCATATCTTTCGTTATGTCGCTGAAACTTGGTTTGGCTACCAGACTCATGTGGCCACCACTCGTCACGCAATATCCGGCTGCCATTGTACTGAAACTGCCACCGAAAACGATGTATTCAGTCCTGGCCTTGGCCTGGCGATTTCCGTATGCGAGTATCTCAAAAGTTGTGTGGTCCTGATATATTTTTGCCGCGTAATGAAAGATGCAGGAAGCATTGCCGCGGCTGTTTGTTGCGACGACAGACTTGTGCGCGCTGTTCACCACTCGGATCGCTCGATCGACTGTCATTTCTACCGCCACATGGTTCCTTAGCAGCACCTTCAAAAAATAAACTTTTTTTGTAATAATAATCACATTTTTTTTGTAGGACGATAACATGTAAAAATGTAATGCATGTAGGAGATTGCCACATTAGCATTAACATCATATATCTAAATAAATAAATCTCTTAGAGATACTTCAATTATTCCGCAAGGCGAAACATAGATTGTGGGGAAGAATTCAGCTGTCACGTGTGGTGCAAAAATGGTGGTGGTGGTGGTGAATGTGGTGGTGGTGCTGCTGCTGTTCGGATCTGAAATGAATTTTAATCAACTTCATCTGCACGCGATTATCAAAATTTCATTTAACAATTTGTTCGATTACATCAGAAAATATCTCATTTATTTAAAAATTTTATTTTCATAATTTCAATTAGAATGAAATTTTGAAAATTGTGATAGGGAAGCACTTCTAACCGGTCTGTTGCTGAAGCACTCCACAAAATGTTTCACCGTTCGTTTTGAGGTTTTTTTGAAAGCCATCGAACATGAGAGTTGAATCAGGCAAGGCAGTTGTTTGTTGAATAAGTGGTGGAATAGTTGGAAAGCTTGTGGTAGGAAGTAGGGAGGGAACGGACGGCGTTTGATCCGTGCCATGCAGCTGGAAAGATGGCAGCGTGTGGTGGTCTTGCAAAACAATCGGTGAATACTGAGCCAAGTTCTGCTGACTGGAGTACTGCATGAAAACGCTGGAAGGAGGATAGGCTGGCAGGGTTTGATAGACACTCTGACCAAGTGGTAAACTCTTATGATGTTGTTGGGGTTTTGCTTCAGGAAAGGAGCAGTAAGAAAATGGGATGCTAAACTGCTGCGTCTGATAATATTGACTTTCTGGGTTAGCAGCGACCAGATGGTTTCTCACTTGTCCTTGCATGTTTGGCGAATTTTCCCTTTGTGATGGGAAAGATTTCAATGCGTTCGATTCGTCATTCTTCTCGGTTTTCAATTTATTTTTAATTTTTTCACCATCTCCTGAATTTTCTTGCGACCAATTATTTGACTCCAAGATGTGCTTCCGAGGTGATTGAGCACCTGAATCCCCAATGTTACCGTGTGGCGACGCTCTCGAATCCTGCATTGAATTCAAATGTTCGATCTGTGTTTGACGCTCTGGTTGCTGGTTGTAAGATGAAATTAGTTGCTGCTCTGTTAGTCGATTGTTCTGGAAGCGGTTGCTCCAGCAATTTTCAGCTTCATTTGTTGAGAAAATAGTATACGGAAGGCATGGAATACTTGAATTTTGAGTCTCCATTTCTTTAAGTTGTTTTCCAGGTAAGTTGTGCTGCATGCCAACGTTCGAGGAATATTGGCTTCGTGACGTATGCTGTGGAGATGTTACTAAAAGTACGGTATCCGAATTAGACGGACTAGTGATGCTTAACTGGTTTTGACTGATGTTTGCGATGGCGTCTAAGTCATCGTCGCTATTGTCTTCACAACATTGTTGCTGCTGCTGCTGCTGATGTTGTTGTTGGTGTTGTATGGAATCTTTAAAATCCAGTGTTGATGTGGTGGTTGTGGTTTTGTGTTGCAAAACTTGCGGTTGAGGTTCCACTACTTCCTCGTTATGAATTGAACTTTCTGGTCCAGGATTCTTTTTAATATCCTAATTTTTAATGGAAACGTTAAGCACAAAACAATTCATATTAATTTAAAATTTTTATTAAAAAATGATGTGATCACTTTTCTAATTAATGATTTCTGCTTCATTTTTTTATGGAACTCCAAATAAAATCGTATTTTTTGCTTGCTCCTAACTTACTCCAATTTATGTAATTTTTAAAAAAATTATTCCATCACACTAATTCATTGGAAAGTTATTCGTTTCACTCTAGATTCAAATTTGAGTGTTCACGACGATTCATTATAAGCGATCAGTTAGTCATCGGCTGTTACATGGCACAGTTACGGGCGGTTTTTTATTTTTTGTTATTTTAATATTTAGAAGATAATTTGAAACAAATTTGTTTGGTATTAATATTATTATCTGTTGTTGTTGTTGTTGTTGTTGTTATTTTATTTCTCGTTCATGATGTTCAATGAACGTCACACAACGATAATAAATACAAATACATTAAAACCTTCATATAGGTAAAAAATCATTTTACAATTTTGATCTAGATATCAGGATATTAAAAATCAAAAAAATAAAACCAATATTTTACTACTACTAACAAATAACTGAAGTTTATATACGAATATATATATATATTTATTTATTTAAAAATCTCATTTCAATTATCGACAAGCGCATTGTGAACAGCAGTTTTGATTGGTTGATCGCAGGTGATGAGGATCGAATGCAAGCATTGCCATCGGGTCAGGATCGGATCCAAGCATTGCCGTCAGCGGAGGCCCACCTATCAATCCTGGAATGCACGTTCCAACGGATGGCCGGTCTGACACCACCCTGGAAGTTTAGCGATCTGTTATTGGAAAAAGGTGGGAGCATGAAATCCCTTGCACTGTTCGTATCCGAGTTGCTACTTCTATTACCAAAACCCCAAAAATCGAATCCAAAATTATTAGGTGAAAAACGGTTCGATCGGACTAGCGAAAAATCATAAATATTCGGAAAACCGTTACTTGAACCGTCGGTAAAATTATTTTCAGGTAATAAATTATTCATGTTGGACTCGTTGCTGACCACATCAGCGTACGCGGGTGGTCTTTCAATGTAAGGAGGGGGTGGAGTCAAATCGTCATCGGCTGGAGGTGATTGGTTGGTCGTGTCGTCCGTTATTTGATGACTGTTTCCGTTGTTGTTGCTGTTGTTGCTGCTGCTGCTGTTGTTGTTGTTTAGTTGGTTTACGTTGGCAACGCTGTGTTGGTAGGTTGAGGAGGTGGATTCTTCGTATGAAGGTGGTGGCGAAGGTATGCAGTTCCTCCGGTTGACGCCTGAGTAAAACCTAAAAATAGCGGAGTACAAGTTGATTCTAACTCTAAAGTTATTGTTTTGTAATCTGCGGTCGTAGTAGTACCAATTGTCGCCCTGTGTACTGCTGCTGTTTGAAGTCACGCCACTTATGATACTTGAAATCGTACTGTCAGGGTTCGAAAACCTCCTCCGCCTCCCTGATGAAGATGAGGACGACGACGACGATGATAATCTGTTAGATGTTGGAATTCTGCAGGGTTGTTCTGACGTCTGTTCGATCATTCCACGTGAGTTCGAAATCTGAAAGTTGGATGATGCCTCAATCGAGTCAACATTTACATCACGTCTTGAGTGTACGGTCGGCAGAGGTTGAGATGGGATCGGTTGGATGGATTGATCCTGAACACCAAACAACCTATTGAAACAGCGAGGGATCATCCTGTTTGTTGCATCATGAAATCTACCGACACGTTCATCTCTGAGATTGTTCAACAAACCACCACCATCATCACCAGGTTCATCTACTTGCACATCCTCGTTGTCATCCTCGCCGTCATACAACTGGCCAGGACCACTGTGGCGAACAGATAGCGGTAGATAGATGGAGTGATTGTCTCCACAGCCTTCAGAAGATACTTTCAAATTAGGAACACTGCCGTATCTTGTTCTGCAGTTGAAGGAACCTGGGAGCTTTGGAATGTTGCATGAAAAATATTTTCCTATGACATTGTTGTTGAGTTTGTTAGTGGTTACCGGTACGTTGCTGCTGAAGCTGAAACTGCTGCTGCTGCTGTTTTCGACGTTGTTGTTGTTGATGTTGTTATTGATGTTGATGTTGTTGTTGCAGTTGTTAGTGTTGTCATTGTTGTTGATGTTATGATGGTTGTTGCACGTTGACCGAGCCACACTTCTTTGATGACTCTGCCTGGCTGGTGAGTCATTTTCATTTTTCATGACGACTATTCGTGACAAGAGGCGCGATAATTTTATATCAAAATGAAAAAATGTTTTTTTTTGAACAAAATCACTGTCTTCTCGCCAACATTTATTTATTTTCAAAACTCAATAAATTTACTTTTTAATTAAAGAAAGCAGGTAAAAAACGCCCTGCTAGTCATATGTTATTTGTTTACAGATTTATTTAAATTAGCTCACCTGTATGGAATGCCAAAACGTGTTTGCTAATTAATAAAAATCTCATGAAAATCGAACACAAGCATCTTTTAGCAGTTTTTGTATTAAAAAATAGTTACATGTATTTTAAATAGTATACATACAATTAATCGTAACGTAATTTAATTCTAATTAGCTTCTACTGACACAAAGGCTACATTTTATACAAAATTCACTTCGAGTCGAAAGATATCGAATTTATACTTTTAGGGCCGGATTTTTAAAAAAGCAAAAAAACACATTGAATAACAAGATTGAACACTTTTATAATAAATAGAAACATAACAAAATTAAAATCCTTAGGTCTAAAATTACTAAATAGACAGTTTCCTAAAAAAAAGTCGCTTAAAAAGAATAAATAACAATTTAAACATTTAAAAAACTTATTTTGTACAAAGATCAATAGTAGGAGAGAGGAAAAATATGATCTGAAATATCCTATAGAAAAATTCATCATCACCATCCTCATCTTCATCTTCTTCATCATCTTAATCTTAATCATTGCAATCATCATCGCCAGCGTAATCATCGTTGTCATCATCACAAAATACGTCAAAACACGGGTAATTTGATCATATCACATGATAATAACGCGATACCACGTGATGACGATGACAACATCAGATGACGTCACTGTGATATCACATTACGTCACATGACACTACATACGCCACTCTTCTCCATGATTCGTTGTTTGACGAGCTGTTGGGCTGCCCTTCTTTTAATCCCTTGAAAAACGAAAAATTTATCTAACACAAACATAAATAGAAATGAATTTGAATAAGTATGTCGCAGTATTGATTGATTGAATGATTAGATGATTGATTGATTGATTGATTGAATGAATGATTGAATAAATGAATGATTGATTAATTGGTTAATAAAGGCTTGACTGGAACCTTCAATCCAGATCTGTCGGTTAAACTGACCACCGGAAAACATGACACTGAAAAGGATTTGTTAATTAAGCTATCAATGTTGTTATCAATGTATATGTGTGGTTAACAGTTATCAGAAAAGTAGACCAACTCGTCTAGACCAGGTCTCAACTCGGCCTCATAGACACCGTAGACCGGCTTGTGATCCGACTGCATGAACGTACCGACAGAATCGTAGTGCAAGCAAGAGATGGTACTTTTCTTCTTACATCGGTATAATATTCGATCCTGGATCGAGATCGTTAATTAAATTGAACGATGTTGTAGTGGTGCTAATGTGTTGAAATGTTATTGGTAATAGTTTTAGAAATGTGTTACAACCGTGTAACTCGGTACTCGATTTTTATTCGATGTATCGTAGTTGTCGGTTCCAATGTCAAATTTGTACGTCGGTAGGAACTTTATGCGAGCTTCGCTGAAATCTTTGAATGCCAATTCTGAAATCAAATGAAAGGTATGGTAATGTACTAATTAACTATTTCCCCAATGATAAAATAACTTATAGTCTAAACTTCTATTTCACAGTTTAGTATCTATTTAGAATATGTACAATAAAAAAATCAAGTCAAGTTTGACATATTTTAAAATAAATTCCATCAAAAGATTACAGAAATTGCGAGAAAAATCTTTTAACAAAAACATGTAGAAAAGCAGGTTAACGCACGTTCACTCACGATCCTCTTCAACTCATCCATCTCGAGCAACTTTTCAATCTGATCCAGCCCTAATTCTCCGGACATCATGGCCCCACCTATTTTCGATCTTTCAATCTCCATCCTACTGTTCAAATCTCCCATCCAGAACACGTGATCAAATAGGGATGTGCTGTCGACCGGTTCATTGTTTTTAACTTGTTTTTGTCCGACAGTTTTTGGAAAGTACAAATTGGTAACTATCTTTTTATAATCTTCAACTCTATCTTCATGCTTGCCTTCGTGGGCTGTTCAACATTTAACTATTAGAATATATCATTTTTTAATTTAAGTGCTATTTCGATTGGTGCTAATCAAAGGGCACATGGCGATCTCTATCTATACTTGGGAGATGTTAAATGATAGTGTAATAACTAAAGCGTCTGGCGCCGCTGTTGCAGTGACCAAGTTCGGACGCACGCGTGTCACATGCAATGCGTGTGTGAGACATTGGTTCACTCGTATTTATATGCACAATGTATTTTTGCTGTTGGAACCTCCGAGATGTACTGGAAAGAGATTGAAAAACAAATTTTTCAACCACACAGCACACCCCACAAACTCACAAACACACACACACACAAATATACGCACGCACGCGCGCACACCTTTGAAATGCGAGTTAATGAAAACCATCGGTGAACCAAATAGAATGAATGAAACAGCCACGGCTCCTTTGGTTTTTATTGACGACGGACCCATTCTCGTTGTCACAGTACTTTCTTCTGGGGCTGATGAAACGTTTTATTAATTAATTAATTAGTTAATCATTCAATTAAACAAACTTAACTATTGTTTGATTGATTCATTCATTCATCGATTGATTGATCAATCGATACAATTACCTACCAGATAGAAACCAGATCAGATCTCGTCTGATGAACACGACGATATTCAGTGTACCGTGGGCTGCCTGGCAGTACATCACGAAGTGCGGTCCGAGGGTCTCTTGCAATTTTATTGACCATTCTTGCCTGCAGTAATTATTCTTTGTTTGTGTGGGTCTTGAATTACACGTCTTCCAAAATTAAATCGAAATTCGTTCACTTTTTTTTTTTAATATAAAATTGAATTGATTTATTATTATATATATCTTTTATTATGATACCTCTATTATTAGGATATCTTTAATTAAGATATCTATTAAGCACTTACTATGTGAATAAACATGTGAAATGAGATGAGTACACTAGGTAAGGTTAAATATCATACCGACCTATCAAACGCAGTTTCTTGCGTAGATATGACGTACATGTCAAAGAGGATTTCACTAATTTTGGGGAGCAGTAAGTTGTCAACGTTAACTGGAATCGTCTTCGTTTCAGCCACGTTCCACGTGCATACGTGGATTCTTATCCTCTTGTTTGGGAAATAACGGATCAATTCTTCCGATCCGAGCAATCCCGTATTCGTGCTACCTACTAAATAACTTCTGCAATGTTCAAATGTGGATATGTTTGTGAATATTAACGAAAAAAAAACTAAATTAAAATGTCCTGGTGTATTCCATTTTTTATACATTCTACACGATCTAATCAATTTTTTTACTTACCAGTTTTCTTAGATGGTAAAATTGCGTTTTTAATCATGTTACCACAGCTTAAATATTATACAAACGAAGTAAAAAAGAAACCGCCGCGAAGTAAGTTAAAGAGAAACACAGACCTGTTTCTTATCTTTTCTGTGGGAACGGCCGTCAGAACGGATGACGAGAAACTTAATTTGTGATTTTGACTCAACGGCGGATCATCTCCGTGGAACGAGAATGAATTGTGAAAATTTTTACTCCGAGAGTTTGCGAGAACATCTTCTCCAGGTGGCGTACGCAGTGAATTGCGAGCCGGAGCAAAACTTTCCGATTTCGTCATGCTTGGTATGGACCCTTTGAATTGGCCCTGTCTTCTGTCGGAATGTAACGTGTAATCAGGCGATAAGAGAGTGCGCCTGTCTCTTGCCGATTGAAAAATGACGTCATCGTCGTAATTCATACGCGTGGTGTTATTTCCGAATAAGTTGCCCTTGTTTGCGATGTCTAAGTGAAAAATTTTGTTTTATTTGATCCTAAATTGAATAAAAAGCGTAAAAATTTTCTAACCTGTCGTTGATTTGCTGTGGAGTGATTTGGAATTTTTTAAATCTTTAGGAGAAGATTCAACAAAATGCTTTGTGAATTTTGTCTCTCTGTGACCGTCATCGAAGTTTCTACCTTTTTAAATGTTCATGAAAATCAAGTAATTAATAAAATTAATAAATAAATTAACATAAATATTTATAGTACGTACCCAAATTTTCAATTGATAATTTTTCCAACGAGCTATTGAAATTATTTTTAATGGACGAATTTTTTCTGGAGCTTCTATATTCTTTCTCCATTTCATCATCAAACAAACTGTTGTTGTTGTTGTTGTTATTGTAATTTGATGTGTTTTGATAAGACCTGCCTGCAACATTTCTATCAGATGGATTTCTTGAAAGGCCATTTTGATAACCTAATTCATTACCATTATTGAAACTGGAGCGTGATAACGAGGCTTTACCCAGAGAACTATTTCTCTCAAATGAATCTGATTTTCTATCGTCATTTTTCCAGTTTGGCCTGCCATTTTCTTGACCATTTATCTCGTAATTGTGTAAATGTTTTTCATCAAAATCGTCATTTTGCTCATAAAGTGGTCTGGTTTTATTGATATTTGTGGCTAATTTGTTGACGATTGATCGCTTTTTAGGACGCTTCTTGTTATTATTAGTAGCCACCGATGAATCTTGATCGTCAAAATCATCACTCTCCATTGCTTGATTTTATTTATTTAATTTTTCAAATCCGATTAATTAAAGAAAATTTAATTCAATAAAAGAGCATGAAATCAGTTGGAAACTATATGTATCGAAAGAAAAACAACTCAATATTCTCTTCCTACTTTCGCTTTAACAACACAAACAATGGTGTTGTTTCTAAGGGCAGTTGCTAATGACAATATTTATGTGTTGTTATTCATATTTATAGTTTTCGGTTGTTATCGAATTTACTTTTAAGCAGCTTTCTAAATAGATAGATTAAATGCCGGTAAAGTTTATTTAAATTTAGTGAAAATATGGCGAGTGATGAAAGTTTTATTTCGGAAATTCAGCAGATAATGTTAGTGTTTGTTTTTTTTTATTTAATTAATTGTGAAATATAAAATGCGTCATTTTATTTATCATGCCCAGCTTTCCCTACTTGAACTCTATTGAATTGAAATTGAACAGATTGATCATTGATTGATCATTGATGGATTGTCAATTTTTTAATTAATTTATTTATTTAATCGTCAGTTTGATTTTTTAGTTTAATTTAAATTTGTTTGTTTAATTCAAGAAGTAATTTATTCAGTCATTAAAGTTAATTAATAGCAGATTCATAACTAATGTCAACTCAAATCATTTTATTATTATTTTATCTACCAGGTATAGTTTTGGAGATTGTTCGAAACCTCTTTTGGTATCAGTGAAACTTATCAGTGATGTCGTACTGAACGAAATCATCAAAATTGTGAGTCGATAAAACAAATTATCATCTTTTCAACTTTTTTTATTAATCATTTATTAAAATTTGAATTATTATTCCAGCATACCTTTTATTATTAACATTAAAAATGTAAATTATTAACCATATGATGATTTTAAATTAAAAGATATACCAGCTAGAAGAGGTATGTGTGTTGCGAGAGAGTAAAATGGTTGGCATCGAAGAAATTCTCTTCTTATACAGAAAAAATTATGTAAGTTTTGTGTGTGCACATCACTATTTATTAATTATCTTTGATTTATTTTTAATTTTTAAACATATTTTGATATTTAATTAGATAAATTTAAAATATTTTTCAGAAAAAATTAAAGCAGGTAATTGAGTTTCTGAGATTCAAAGATTTAAAGGCCCAGTGCATGAAGGGCACTAATGGTGCTACTGGCGGAAAAGATGGAATTAAAATGGATGACGATGATATAATGGGTTCGTGGTTTTTTTTTTTAATTTATGTTCACTTTTCATTCACTTCCTAATTCAAATTATATTTAGATTAAAAAGTACATATATGTATATATTATAATGTATACTAAACAAGTTAATGTAATTAATAATAGTTTGTCTATTGTTTTTTATTATAAAAGACAGCACAAGTACATCATCTAAGCGACTGAAGATCTGCTCCGATTTTCTAAATACCATGGACCCAACTGGTCATTATTATCTTTATTATTGCTTTCATTATTATTGTTATAATCATAATAATTATAATAATAATTTCTATAATTAAAATAATTATTATTATTGTTCTCCAGGTTCTTTAGCCTTGCTCATAGACATGAATGACGATGATGCCAGATTAGAAAGATACAATGTGGATATTTTTTTTTTCTATAATAATATAATAATAATATGATAATAATAATATAATAATAATGTAATATTGTTATAATAATGATAATAATTTTCTAAGAAATTTGAAAGGCTTACACGAGGAATGAGTTCGACTGAGTACAACGCATTCACACAGGCCAGAAGAATTAGTTTCTCTAGTAAACAACTTTATCACGTTACAACCTAAAATAAATATTTGTTTTATCACAAATTATTATTTATAATTAGATATCATTAAATACTAAAAACAAATAAAATGATATTTTTTCTCCTTCCTCGAGGTTCAACAGCTGGCATAGCAAAGTTCAAAAACTGGATTCTTCCACATTGTTGTGAGACTCAAGTTGAGCTGAGCAGTCAAACGTGGAATATTCTTGCTTACTTTGCTAGGGATATGGTTGGAGAGGTGTAGGAATTTTTTTTATTCTTTCATTCATTTGTTTATTCATTCATTCGTTCATTCATTCGTTCATTCATTTAGCTATTTCCTCATTTGTCTAATCATTTACTCATTTTAAATTGGTCAATTTATTTTTTTTTATTGTATAAAACTTTCGAATATTTTCAACATAATCTTATAAAAATCATTTTTCTAAAGCTCGTCGAATGCTCACTGGCAGTAAGGAAAGGATTTGAAAAATCTTCTCATAGAAAGTTAAGGAAGAAACACAGGAGATATAAACAGCAGCTGCAAAAACAACTGCTCGCCAACAACACACCACACAGTGGGCAATTATTGCAGGTTCTTATTCGATTCATTCATTCACTCATTCATTCACTCACTCATTTATGTATTCATTCATTCATTCATTCCTTACTATTTATTTAATTATTTATTTATACTATAATAATTATTATTTAACAAAAAATTATTACCACAGAGTGAATATATTGCACAAGGCAGCACATCTGAACTGCCAACTTCATTAGTTTCTCCATCCTTCGGCCCATCACTGGAGTCAAAACAAAACTACTTGACGGCCAATGCGGACACTGATTTCTCAGTAGGTGCCGATCTTAAACATTACCAAGCTATCACAGTGTCTGAGATTAGAGAAGCTATACGACGGCTCTGCCTGTTGAATCAGCCTCTTACTTGGAATTTGGTTGGTTGAATTTTGTTTAAACTTTTTGTTTCATTGGTTCGTTTGCTTATTCGTTCATTCATTCATTCATTTTTTAACATATTTTTATTTAAACTGAAATAATTGTTAATTTTCAGAAATGTGTGCCGATTCATATCAGCAAAAGACGTTTATTGTAGAGTAGTTTTTATCCAGTTGTGTCTTTTTTTCATTTTTCGAATTTCAGTTCTTTCTTCTGATTTGTTTTTAAACATTTCTCGGTTTATTATGTAAAAATAAAGAGAATTGTAAGGCAAAATATTTACAGAAATAAAATATATACATTTAAAAATGAAAATAAAACCTATTTGATGTTAGTTTGATGGAAAAATGAAGGTAGTAGAAGCAATATCATCAATATTTGTTCGCGTTTGGAATACTCGTCTGACAAAGACATATTTTAGGTTGTATACGTGGCGGTATTAATACTTTTTTTATGGAAATTAAAACGTTCTTACGTCACATGCGAATATGTACATTGTGTGGTTTACTTGAATTTGAAGATGTCTGCCCATGATGTTGAATATCGTTGAGTAACGCGTTTTATTAGCGTGTCATTAAAATACGGTGGGTTTTTTTGGGTAAAATTAACATTGTCCTGAGTAACAACGAAGATGAAGACGTCTCTAACGTCATCATCGACCTTTCTTACCGAGACCTTTTTTCTTCATAGGTATACCATCGTCGTCATTGACGTAACTTCCCTTGCCGAAGAATCCACGGCGTTTTTTCGAAGCGTCGCGTCGTGGTTTCCTCTTGGGTTTGGTGTCAACTTCGTCGCCTTCGTCCTCTTCCTCGCGCTCTCCTGACGTACAGCATAAATGGCGCTTTCTTGAGGTGCCGTGCAGTTCAGCCCGTTCCGACTTTTTGTTCGCCGTTTTGATTACGTTTTTGTTTCGGAAGTTGGTGAAGAGGGCATACACAAAGTCCGAAGCCGTGATCGTGTCGGCGTTTATGGCTAACAATTTGACGACGAACACTCCATCTCGGTTCAAGTAGTCTACAAATTGTTTGACCTGTGGCGGGTGGCGATGAGTTCAATTATTCATTTAATTGTTACAATACACAAACGGCCAACATGGTGAAGTAATTGTGCACCTGAAATGTTCTGTTACATCATTTTCTTTTAAAAATCACCCTACTTTTAACATGAGTAACGGCAAGGTTTATTGTTCAACTGAATCTAATGAGTGTTCAGCATTAAAAAATAGTTGGATTGTTAACAGTTGACGAACCTGTTTTCTGAATGTTCCTTCATCGTCGTCGTCGTCATCATCGCTTTCATTATCATCATCAGTATCATCATCCAAACCCTGATCATTTGAGGCCACGGCAGCGTATTTGAGGTGTCGGTAGGTGTAGGTGAAGAGTTTGGAACGCGGGTACATCCTTTTAAGCCAGGAGAGCAGGGAAAGGGCGGTGACGAGGATCATGATGAGGAACCAGAACCAGAGCATCAGGAAGATTTTCTCGTTAAAGTGGTTGATGGGAAGGACGCACTGGATCTTATAGTCGTGGATGTTCACCACTCTTCTTATCTGATTCCACATTCAATTCGAAGTTATTTAAATTATATATTTATTACGAAACTAAAATTATTGTTACTTAATTGTATTCATATTTCCTTATTAACAAATTGAATTTCTTAACACGGCTTAAAACTACTCCAAAATTGTTAAATAAACTGGACGTAGGCTGGCACGAACTTTTAAATCGCACATGGTCATCCGAGGAAACTGGCGGCTGCCGACGGCTCCGTACTGATCATTCATGGAAGTCTTTATGATTTCAACCCCGAATGAATAATAATCGCTTCCAAACAGAAGGTTCAAACAAATAAATTGACAGATGGCGTTTAACAGGAAGAGGAACTTGACGAAGAGGTAAAAACTGAAGAGGTAGCAACCGTGAAAGCACGAGCAACAAGCGAAAAGCTGCTTGAAACTTATCGTTGGTTCATGGTAGTAGTTCTTCTTGGCTTCCGCCAAATATCTAATTCCAGAAAATAAAATTAAGTATTTTATTTCATACGTATCCAATTTCATCGTAAAAAAACACAAATTATTGAGTTGTTTTTTTCGTTTCAAACGTAAACCGGCACTAAGTAAATGCTAAATTCGGCGAAACAAATTTCTCACCTATCCATCTGACTGATCATATAGCTGACCGTCTTGTCTCGAACTTCTGCGGTCTCTGTGGCTAAGAAACTCTCTCCGGCAACCACAATGCTGTTGAGATCGAGTCCTGATTTTCCACTGCAATTTTTCCACAAAACGTGTGGGACGTAGAAGAAAAATGCCTGAACGAGAAGGATTAGCGGAACCCATTGGTAGTACGTCACTCTCTACTCGGGTGTGATGGTTTAAGGTTAGGGTTATTTTGATTTTGAATGCACATCTTACAAAATTACAATAGTAAGAATAGACTATTGCGATTCATTTTTTTTTTATAAAACAGTAGACAAAAATTTACAAAACGTTACTATCAACCTACATTTTGATCCTTGATTTTATCGAAGTCCTTATTCTGATGGTCATTGGAGAAGGAATAGGTGTTCCTAATCCAGCAGTAACTATTGGCATAGTCAGGTTGGGTACTGTCAAATTCGCCAGGACTGAAACAGTAGATTGGATCGCCGACGAAAGTTTTCGTGGTGACGATGATGGCGAAGAAGATCAGCATGACGACAGTGACGTTGCGATTCAAGCGATCGACGCGGTCGTCATCGCCTCGCCTCGAGGTTATCAACTTTGACATACCAAAAAAATCGAGAATGGCGTCCATTTTAGATGTTTATTTTTTCTTCTTAGTGTGTCAAATTTTGGTTGAAAAACTGAAAAATTTGATAACATATATATTACATAATATATTAAAATTAATTTGTATCAATTAGTTACTTAATAATAATTAGTTATTCCTGGATCATAGTAGACAAATTACACTAAAATGAAGTTGCTTTTACAAAGTTTAATTAAATTTGTTAAATAAACCTAAAAATAGTCCTTTTTTTGAGTAAAAATTCGAAATCGAGTTGGCCAATGTTACTAATTGAACTGCCAAAGTATTTAAATTAGTATAAAGTATTAATTAAAAAGATTAAACAGTAAAATGTTATTTAGAAACTTGGTAGACCATCAAACTCTTGTTACATACGCTTACATTGAATCAGGTACAAAAAAAATCGATTTATTTACTACTACCATGGTTTAATTAACGTATAATATACCCGCCTTCGAAATCGTCATCATTACGTCATCTTCATTCATAAATAATATTGTGATCGTAATTTTTTTAAGTAAGCATATTTAATCTGAAGTCTTAAATGAACAGTTTTTTTATTTTAAAATCGTAATTCAGAAAAGATCAAACGAACCGTCAATCCTATGTTATGCGTGATATAAATATCCCTTTCTTACTTCACCTACTTAATTAACTGATTAATTAATCAATTAAGTGGCCCATTAATTAATTAGACAGCTAATCAGTCAGTTATTTATAAGATAAATAAAAACTGGTATTGTTCATCATAAGTAAGACTCTTACCTAAGATAAGACAAGAGAGTCTTATGGTTTATCTATTAAGAATTAATTTGTTAAACAGAAAAAGATTTTTTTAAATGAAAGTTCGGCGTGTTAAAATAAATTAATATATTATTATAAAATATAATCAATATTATTACTAATATTACAATCAAATACCTATAAGCCAAAATTTGCTACATCAATACTATACTGTATCAATGAACATAGTAACCATTGTTATTGTAGAAAAAACACTTATCGGTACAAATGAATAAATTAATTGATCCTTTCTTCTTTTGTACATAATTACTCAAGTATGTGTTTGTGTGTGTGTGTATGTGTGTGTGTATGTGTGTGTGTGAGTTTGTTGAAATAAGCTAAACAATGACACGCACAACACAATTAGATTCTATTGATAGACTACATATTTCATATTCAACATTCGTTATTATGCTAATATCCCAACCGACAGAGCTAACAATATTGAGTACTTATATATATACTCACACATATACACACACAAATACATTCGCGCACACACACATAAATGCATGCAGAAAAACACATACACACACATACTTATGTGCATTATAATATTCATGATGTCATTTGGTTATGAATAGGAAGTATGGTGTATATGTATGTATCAGGCTAGCATCTTAGTACACTGTGTAAAGTAGCTACGTCAACAGCTTGTAGTGATCCTGCTGAATAATAAATAAGTGATTCGTGGCGTTTTTTGTAGTAGTAGTAGTAGTCGTACTAGTAGTTGTAGTAACAGCTGCAGTTGAGTAGTAGCAGCAGCATTAGTTGTTGTAGTAGTAGTAGTTGTGGTAGTTATAGTTGTAGTAGTAGTAGTAGTAGTAGTAGTAGTGTAGTAGTAGTAGTAGTAGTAGTAGTAGTAGTAGTAGTAGTAGAAGCAGCAGTAGTGGTAGAGTAGTCGTAGTAGTGGTGTTTGTGTTGATATTCAAATTCTTTATTTTCTTTCATTCATTCATCTTCATTAAGATGCGATTTTGCGTGTGTGTGTGTGTGTGTGTGTGCGTGCGTGCGTGTGTGTGTGTGTGCGTGCGATTTTTCAAGGTTTCTGTGTGATTCATTTATTCTTGACTTTTGCTCCTTTCATTATTTAACTTTCCTTAAAAATTATATTCCTTTTACAAAATTTATTTCACTTTATTATTTTTTCAACATTATTATGTGTTCACGTATTTATTTAACTAATTATTTAAATTTAGAAAAAAATTTACTAGAAAAAATGACATAAATTATAAAAAATGGTTGATTCTATTATATTGGGAAGGTAAAAACCGATTGCGTTAACTTCGGGGCATAGCGTCTCAGCGGGACAACACATTTAACACATTACATAAGAAGACTATCATTGTTATACACTATTAGCGTATGTATTAATGTGTATTGTGTGCATTAGTGGGTATTAGGTATTTTGTGTATGTGTCCGTATTGTATATTTATGTATCATTGTTGTGTATCATTTATATACAGTGTACCTTACGAAAGGATTATTTGCGTGTTGATGAGTCATTTGTTTCTCCTAATGACGACTGACGTTTGTATGTATGTGTGTGTGTGTATCTGTGTGTGTATGTATGTGTGTATGTATGTGTGTGTGTGTGTTAGCTTAACACGTTATCCTGCAGTTAATCACCGGATTATTTGGTTCTTATGCAAATTAATGCCATCACTTCATATCAACAGCTCCTGTTTAATGATGGAAATTGTCCATTTATTACCCTGACGTCATTTCGTTTTGGGTTTATTTTGGTATGTGTTATTTTTATTTTGACATGTAATTTTTTTCTTTGTTTTGATTATTACGTCACCGTGAATGACGCAAGCTTTTGTTGTCTTTCCTTTTTTTTCATTTCTGCATATTTTTCTATTCATAACTTTTTTGGCCGAAACGATTTGGAAGATGTATTGAATGTATAATGACAAAATAAAATCAATACAATATCGACGCTATCGGATATTCATTCGTCGAGCCGATAAACCGGTTCCAGTCAAGACATTAATGTCATCTCTCCCAGGGTTATGTCAAACTTTCCTACTTTGCTGGCCAATTCAGAATCTACATTTTTTATTATTCCCTCTTGTTGAATGAATGTATAACATGTAACACACACACACACACATACATACACACACATACACTATGAGAAAGAGATAAATAGAGAGAGAGAGAGAGAGAGAGAGAGAGAGAGGAGAGAGTGAAAGAGAAAGAGAAAGAGACACTATTATTCAGCAGACACACACAGGCAGACAAACATCATACAACACATGAAGATAAAAAAATTGCTCGTATATCCCACGTGTGAATTTTTCATTTTCATCTTAAATAGATTTTATCGAGAAATGTTTCTAGTTTCTTTAAAATTAATTTTTATTAAATAAACATTTTTCATCCAAACAAAATTTTTTACACAGGCAAACATGACAAATTTCACACATGGTTGCCGGCATTGGCTACAGAAAATTAGAAAACTTGAAATTCGAATTTAGTTTTCGTTAGAAAATATTTCAAAATAGAATATTTTATTCTAGTTCACTGGCTTTGGGCAGGAAAAAGCTTTGAATTTCATTTAAGAAAAAAAATTTATACCCCCCACGGGAATGCTTTCCATTCAGATGAAACTCGTTTTTATGTGAATTTTTTTATTATCCTCATTTTTTACGCCCACAAACTTTTTATTATTCTTATTTTTATAAAATTTTCTTATTAAAACCCAAAAGACATGTACACAAACACACACACATGATTTTTTTCCAAAATTGGATTTCAAATACTTTAAATGAATAAGAATGTCATTCATGTTTTTGCTGCTTTGAATAATAATAATAAATACAAATACATGAGCATCAAGTCTGTCAAGTACACATGCACTGACATAAAAAGTACTTTGATGTTTACATATCTCGATGCCACAACTTTCATGTTTATTTGAAATATGATGTATGCATCAGGGTGCGTTTTATTTTTAGAATTATAAAAACTTATAGATGAATAATTAAAGAAATGCAGAGAAAATCATTTAATGGATGGATGGTGGATGGATCGATGGATGGATAATGAATGAACGCAGGACGACTGGATGAATGGGTAGATGGATATCTGGATGAGTTAATGGATGGATGGATAGTCAGATGAGTATATCAATAGATACATGGATATTTAACACCTAAATGATAAATGGAGGAAAAGGCTGTTTTCTATGGATGAAAAAAATAACACAATACAAACTCAACCACAATTTACAAACACAAAAGGTGTGTACAAAAAAAAAATAAGTTTCAATTCTGGAAGAATTTTTCCATTGAAAAAAAAGGAGAAACTGACAAGAAATGGGGAATGAAAGGCGAGATGCCATCAATCACTCAATCACACACACTATACACACATACACACATGTACACACGCACACACACGCACAAACACACCTAAACACATCAATCATCTTATCGCCTCGGAATATTTCTATAAGGAACTCCCGTCAATTATTCTGTTGCCATTCCTCTGACTTACTTTATTTCCGAAATTTTTTTTTGTGTCTGATTTATACTAGACACAACCCTAAGTTGACACACACACACACACACACACACACACATACACACACACACACACACACATACACCACACACATACGCAGCACACACGTACGCACACACACACATACGCACACACACATATATATATATACTATACAGTCACACACACATGCATACATACACATACATAAACGTACATTCAACCACATCATTAATTGCATGAATCAAATTTATATATAGGCAAGCTCATATGGAATTTCAAATTGCTAAGCTGTTAAAATTAAACGCCCAAACACGCATTTTTGCACAATATTTTAAAAATTAAATAGATTTAAGTGTTTTTCTGATTTTTTTTATTATTTTTTTTCTACGTTACCTGGCGAATTTGTGTTTTTGGAAGTATGGTGATATGATTTATATTCAACTCGGGCACTCAATGAATTATGAGTATCTGTGTGTGTTTGTACGTGTGTGTGTGTTTGTACGTGTGTGTGCGTGTGCGTGTGACCGTACCCGAATAAAATGCAAATTTTTTTGATCAAGTCATTTAGTAGCGTAATGATGTTTTGAACGAACGAGCGTAGCGTAGATCCACCATTCATATAAAGTTAGATAAGCCTAAAACATGGGTAGATGCTATATGTAACATGATGTAATGTAATGTAATACTATGTAAAGTAATGCCATCGAACGTAATGTGACTTTACGTGATGTAAAATAGATGATTGTAATGTAATGTAATGTAATGCTTTGTCGTATAATCTTATGTAAATGTAATGTAATCATAATATGACGTCATATATTAACGGATGACGTCAAAAAAATTTCCCAGAAAAACATTGATAAATAAGCGAACGTACAAGCAAAGATAAAAAAGAACGCAGATAAATTAAAACAAAAAATAATAAAAAATAAAAATTAGTAGACAGATATAAACAAAGAACGATAATAAACAAAGAGAGATAAACAAAGATAAATAAGCAAAGATGGATGGACATAGATATATAAGAAGAGATTCGCTGGTTGAGATACATAGAAATTTTCCCATTATGCAGATTCTGAAAAAAAGATCATCCATTAATACATTCCTTCATCTATCCATTTATTCGTTCGTTCGCTTGTTCATTCACTCACTCACTCATTCACTCATTCATTCATTCATTCGCACATTCAATCAATTATTTATCCATCCAACCATCTACTCATTTATTCATTGAGGATAATGATTACGATTATAGCGATAGTGATGACGATGACGATGATAGTAGTGATAATGATGATGATGAGAGAGAGAGAGAAAAAAAGAGAGAGAAAATGAGAGAGAGAGAAAGGGAGAAAAGGAAGAAGTGATGAATAAAAGATTGATGTACATAATCATTGGGGTGCGTGTTGTATTATTGTTGAGGATTGTTTGGCTGGTGTGTTTGATGGATGTTACCGTCTGCCTTATTGATTTGTTGGTTTTGTTAATTAGTTGAATGAATGAATGAATGAACGAACAAATGAATGAATGAATGAACGAACAAATGAATGAATGAATGAATAAATGAATGAACAAATGAATGAATGAATAAATGAATTAAGGATTTAAAACGGACAAACTAAAAACCAAAAAAACCTAAAAACCAAGAAAAACCTAAAAACCAAAAAAACAAAAAAAAAAACTGAAAACCAAAAAAAACCTGAATCTGGCAAAATTGCTTCATGATCGATGAACATGGAGACGTCAGAAGTGACGCGCCGCGAGAAAGAGCCATTGGAGAAAAAAAATAACCGAGACTTTGATTAAGTGTTCTTCGTGTACCAACAACCTCCAACAAAATACAAACTGTACACACACACGAGTACAAAATACAAACTGTACACACAAGTACAAAATACACACT